CTCTTCTCTCTCTCACTCTCTCCACTCTCTCTCACTCCTCTCACTCTCTCTCTCTCTCACTCTCTCTTCTCTCTCCTCTCCTCCTCTCTCTCTCTCCTCTCTCTCTCTCCTCTCTTCTTCTATCTCTCCTTCTCTCTCTCTCTCTCTCGTCTCTCTCTGTTCCTCTCTCTCTTTCTCTCTTGTCCTCCTCTCTCTCTCTTCTGTCTCTCTCTCTCTCTCTCTGTCTCTCTCTCTCTCTCTCGTTGTCCCTCCCTCTTCTCTCCTGGTATTCTCTCTCTCTCTCTCTCTTCTGTCTCTTCTCCCTCTCTCTCTCCTCTCCTCTCTCTCTCTCTCTCTCCTTCTTCTCTCTCTCTTCTCTCTCTCTCTCTCTCTCTCTCTCTCTCCTCTCCTCTCTCTCTCTCTCACTCTCCTCCTTTCACTCTACTCTCACTCGTCCTTTCGTCACTCTCTCTCACATCTCCTGTCTCTAACTGCTCTCTTCAACAACTCTCTTCATCACACTGCTCTCATTATTCTCCCCTTCTCTCTCACCCTCTGCCTTTCCCTTTCACTTCTCCTCTCTCTCTCTTCTCCTTTCTTCTCTTCTCTCCTCTCCCTCCCCTCTTTATTCTTCTTCTCCTCTCCTCTTCTCTCTTCTCTCTCTCTCTTGTCTCCTCCTCTTCTCTCTCTCCTCCCTCTCACAGCCTCTCCCCCACTCTCCCCTTTCTCCCTTCTTCTCACTCCCGTCTCTCCCCTCTCTCTCCCTCCTCTCTCTTCCCTCCTCAAACCAATATCTACACTCAGTCGCTTCATCCGTTGTTGTTGTTGTTGTGTTGTTGTTCTTTCTGCTGGTGTGATTGGTGGGTGGTGCGTGTGTCTCTGGTCGGTGATCCTTTTTTCTCTCTCTTCTCTCTCTCTCTGCTCTCTCTCTCCTCTCCTCTCTACTCTCTTCTCTCTCTCTCTCTCTCTCTCTCTTCTCGTCTCTTGTCTCTCCTCTAGGGTCTTCTCTGTCTCCTCTCTCTGTGCGGCTCATCTCTCTCTTGTCTCCTCTTCATCTCCTCTCTTTCCTCTCTTTGCTCCTCTCTTCTCTCTCTCTCCTCTCAATCTCTCTTTTTTTGATCTCTCATCTCTCTCCTGTCTTCTCTCTACATCTCCTTCTCCTTCTTCTGTACTACTCCACTTTGCTCGTCTGCTTCTCTCACTCTCTCCTTCCCTTCTCGACTTCTCATCTCCTCGCGTCACACTTCTTCCTGCTCACGTCTGGCTCGTCTCCACTCTCTAGCTCTCACTCTCATCTCTCTTCTCTCTCTGCTCTCCTCCTCTCCTTCTCTCTCTCTACCTCTTCTCCTTCTCTCTCCTCCTCTCTTCTCTCTCGCTCTCTCTTCTCTCTCTCTCTGTCTCTCTTTCTGGTGTCTCTCTCTCTCTTCTCTCTCTCTCTCTCTCTCTCTCTCTCTCTCTCTCTCTCTCTCTCTCTGTCTCTCTCTCTCTCTCTGTCTCTCTCTCTCTCTCTCTCTCTCTTCTCTCTCTCTCTCTGTCTCTCTCTCTCTCTTCTCTGTCTCTCTCTCTCTCTCTCTCTTCTCCTCTCTCTCTTCTTCTCTCTCTGTCTCTCTCTCTCTGCTCTCTCTGTCTCTCCTCTCTCTCTCTCTCTGTCTCTCTCTCTCTCTCCTTCTTCTCTTTCTCTCTCTCCTCTCTCTCTCTCTCTCTCTCTCTCTCTTCTCTCTCTCTCTCTCTCTCTCTCTCTCTCTCTCTTCTCTTCTCTCTCTCTCTCTCTCTCTCTCTCTCTCTCTCTCTCTCTTCTCTCTCTCTCTCTCTCTCTCTCTCTCTCTCTCTCACTCTCCTCTCACTCTCTCTCCTCTCTCTCGTCATCTCTCTCTCTCTCTCTCTCTCTCTCTCTCTCTCTCTCTCTCTCTCTCTCTCTCTCTCTCTCTCTCTCGCTCTCTCTCTCTCTCTCTCTCTCCTCTCTCTCTCTCTCTCTCTCTCTCTCTCCTCTCTTCTCTCTCTCTCTCTCTCTCTCTCTCTCTCTCTCTCTCTCTCTCTCTCTCTCTCTCTTCTCTCTCTCTCTCTCTCTCTCTCTCTCTCTCTCTCTCTCTCTCTCCTCTCTCTCTTCTGTCTCTTCTCTGTCTCTCTGTCTCTCTGTTCTCTCTGTCTCTCTCTCTCTCTCTCTCTCTCTTCTCTCTCTCTCTCTCTCTCTGTCTCTTCTCTCTCTCTCTCTCTCTCTCTCTCTCTCTGCTGTGTCTCTCTCTCTCTCTCTCTCTCTCTCTCTCTCTCTCTCTCTCTCTCTCTCCTCTCTCCTCTCTTCTCTCTCTCTCTCTCTCTCTCTCTCTCTCTCTTCTCTCTCTCTCTCTCTCTCTCTCTCTCTCTCGCACTCACTCACTCACTCACTCACTCACTCACTCACTCACATATATATATGTATATATGTATATGAGAATGTATGTATTTATGTATAGGCTAGGCTATATAGGTATGTATGCATATATGCGTTAATAAACATAAGGGTAATAATAATAGTGATAGTAATGATAATGACAACAACTATGCACTAACGATGATGTAGTAATGATGTTGTAAATGGTTAGATACTTGGTAAAAGCCATTTCTGTGTCCACAATTTACATACTGCTAATGGGTATGTCCACTGCACCAGTTGTGGCTCCAACAATGACTGAAAAAAACATCTACCTATGCATATTCTGGTAAATTACAGCGTGCAGCTGACCTCCCTGGCAACTTAGCATCAAATAAGGAAACAGGCCAATCTCAGTCTTACTGGAATATGCATGAGAAAGTCTTTTTTTTTTTGCAGAAGCATAAAAGCATTGAAACTTTGGCAATTGCTTGACTTTGTGCCACTGCTTAACTGAACTTAAGATCGTATATCTTTTATCACAGATTAGATAGAATGCAGCCTGTATAATTAAAAGTAAATAGTCTTGTTTTGAAAGCTCTTTAGCTACATATATCTGTCTCATAGTCTGTTTGTCTGTCTATCTATCTCTTGTATATTTTTGTTTTTTTCTGTCTGTTTCTGTATGCATGTATCTCTCTATCTGTCTGTCATTTTGTCATCTGTGTGTCTTTTTATTTCTCTGTCTTTTTATCTATCTATCAATCAATCAATCAATCAATCAATCTATCATTTTCCCTGTCTGGTTATTTATGCATATATCTCTATATATGTATATATTTGTCTATCTGTCTGTTGGTCTCTCTGTCTCTCTCTTTCTTAATCTGTGTCTGGTTATCTGTCTACCTGTCTATATATCTGTTTACCTGTCTATCTATCTATCTACCTGTCTATCTATCTATCTATTTATCTATCTATCAATCTATATTGATTAGGTAGCCAGTTGATTCAAGCTTTGAATTTGATGTTGTCTGCAAGTTACAAACTCTTTTATGATCTTCAATTAGTATTGGGAGTGTCAGAATCAGCTGTAATTTAAAACGCTATTAATTTTAAACAAAGAAAAAAGATCTGCAGTCTTCATTTTTGACACTTCTTATTTGAGTGTCTTGTAGACACTTATAGTGCATCTTGATTCTTAACTCTTAATTTCGAGAACTTGAAACACTGGATTTCTATTCTTTGTATTCATGTTATTAGAAAACTTGCTTTGACACAAGTATATATATTAATTTATTCGGAAATGTGTTTTTGACAAGCATATGCAAGAATACCCGCAAGTATGAAAGACAGTAGAATAAGAGACAAAAACCCAATTCTCTTGTTCTTAGCTCTAGTGACTGTATATGGTCTTCTAGATACCAAGGGATAAAAAGTTTAGGATACCACAGAGAGATCCCTTATCCTACTAGAGTGGCAGTTCAGATTCCATAACCAAAGGGAGAACATGATGTCTTTGTTATCTTTTGTACATATTTGTTATTTATTAATTATTTATCTTTATATTCTTCCTTCTCAGGTTGGGCTGGCAGACAGATCTCTCATGCCAGGTGATGTTGTAAGGCGCCTGATAAGAGGAAAAGACACGCAGCGAGGGTACTGTCGCCAGGTTCACGTGACCTCCAGTGTACAGATCGTTGGCACAAAACTTGTGATATTGAATGTTGACAGCAATGACCTTACGCCTCTGGAGGTAAGTAACGAGGTCTTAATTTTAGCTCCCATTAAGATTCATTTTATGGAGCTGACAATTTTAAATCCTTTAACTGCATGAATCGGTTCAACTGTGATACATGCAAGTATTATATTGATTATAATCTCATGCAAGTCTGCTCTGTTGGTTAGTATTGAAGACACTTTTGATTATAATTGAATTATTTAGGAGGAATCTTTAAGATACTGTTTCCCTTGCATATCCTCTCTATCTTTATTTTATTCTGACAAAAACATAAACCAAATAATTTCTTTTGTGTCTTAGGAATTCACAACAGATATTGCAGTGGCACTGGACTCCTGGGTGGGGATGGTGCACATGGTCAAGTGCCGTCTGGTGATGCTGTGCGCTGACGGATCGAGATGTGTCATGTCAGACAGTGAGGCCTTAGAACTGGACGATATGAGGGATTCCCGAGACAGGGTTAGGCTGGTAATTGTCACTCAAGCTCACAGTAATTATATTCGTAATGACCACAGCTACAAGGAGAGAAAGAAAAAGAAAAGGAATTGTATTTCTCATTTCCTGTATTTTGTTGTGTTGTTTTGATTATTATTATTATTGTTATTTTTATTGCAATTATTGCTATTATCATTCATGATATTATTATTATTATTGTTTATTGTTTTGCTAGAATTTTTATAAGTGCAAAAGCAGTGACCTTGCAAAGTCCTGATAATTAGTAGCTTCAGCTTTGCTAGTATTTATCATTATTATTATTTTTGTTATTTATTATTATATTATTATATTTATTATTATTATTATTATTATTATTATTATTATTATTATTATTATTATTATTTTACTTTCATTTACTTTATTGTTATCACTCATGCATATCCTCTTGTAATAGCCTTAGGTAAATAAGATATATGCCTATGACCTCAGATATATATTTAGTTTTATTGGATGATTGTAGAAGCTAAAATGTTTAGAAAGACCAGCATCAAATTATCAGCCTTTGTTTCCACTTTATTATAAAAAAAGGAGAAAAATCTTTAGATAAGAATTAACAAAGGACAAGCATGATATATCTTCATCATGGAATGGTTACCAGTGCTGGAGAATGATTCGCAAATAAATTATACACTTGGTTAAATTATACGGAATGATTGAAGATACAGCTCATGTAAGTCGTATGGAATGATTTTGATGCACTTGGTTAAATTATACGGAATGATTGAAGATACAGCTCATGCAAGATGATTTTCCGATAATCCATTTTTTAGTTATTAAAGGTTTTGTATAGATTTTTTTTTTTTTTTTGAGGTTGCTGAATGGTTGAGCTGATTAACTTATCAGTATTGTACTGCGCTTATAAAAAATGGATATATCACATATGAAGATTTTTATCACTTGCCAGAGTTTCTGACTTTGGTTGCAGTTGTTTTTGTTGTTTTTTTCTAAAATTACATATCCAGCAAGTCTGCACTATCATGATATTTGCAAAAGACTTCTGCCTATATGATACAAAATCAGTATGAAAATGTTAAGCAGATCATATATATGTTGTTTTATGTGTATGATGTGCATGTGGGTTTCATATTGATGCAAGTGTTTTTCTTGTGGTCTTGCATACATTATCACTCGTTAAACAACAGATCCATAAGCTTTTCATATATTTTGATAAGATATATATGATGTATAGGGTACTGTCATAAATGTATGAAGTTAGCAGCAGTATATATATATATATATATATATATATATATATATATTATATATATATATATATATATATATATATGTATGTGTGTGTGTGTATATGTTTTTTATATCCAAATCATTAGACTTGGCAGTGATAGATTTAAAGCGAAGCAGTTTTTTATGTTGTCTGGCAGAACTAAACTTTTATTAATCTTGTACTTTCTTTTTGAGGATTCTTTTTTCATTTGTATAATACTGGTATTTCAAGCAGTCACACAAACTGCCGATATTTTGTGGTGAGTGATTGGCCTTTTGTAAAAGGTACATGTTCAAGAGCTCTGGGTCTTTAACTTGCTCACACTGGGTTGTATGTGATCTCATCATGGTTACTGAGCCCAAGTGTTTAGTATCCATGCCATCCGTGGTCAAGCCTGCTCTCGTCTCTCTTTCTGCCACATTTTCTATAAATCACATATGCAGCAGCAGAGAGCATTGAGAGTGGGTAGATGCATTTTTCTCATGCTTCTATTTATGCACTTGAATGGCTGACCAGGTGAAGCCTGGCCCATGGACCAGTATGGCACAGAGAAATCCTGGTGTAAGTGGGTTTGATACTCAATTCACATACTTGGTGTAGATTAAATTCTAAAGTCACCTATTCACTTATCATATTAACAATGGCAAAAAAAAAAAAAAAAAAAAAAAAAAAAAAAAAAAAAAAAAAATATTGTCATCTGATTGTCATCACGTGTAATGTTTTTTTTCTTTTTTTCCTGAAATATTTCTGAGATATTAAGTGTATACTCTATTGTTACTTAACTTTTTATTTGATACTTAGAGAATAAGAGTGTAAGTGTATAAAACTATGGCAGGAAAATAAAATTGTACTCCTAGGTCTAGGAAATAATGTTGTAGTACAGATTAAGCCTCAATAGTCCAGCAAACTTGGATTTTTCAAACCAGTGAAACTTATTGAAATGTTGAATTAGTGTTTTGTGAGTGGGAGAAAGAGTCCTTAGAATGGTATATAGAGTTGTACCAAGGGAGACTCCTAGTCCAGTGAAGGCATAGTCAAGCAAAAAAATGTTCCTTGCAAAGTCCTAAAGTTCCTTAAAGAATTAAAATGATGATGATTATTCTCACCTTTATTGTGTTTCTGTTATTTGCATGGAACTTTTTGGAGCTTAACGCAAAGGTGATGGCGCCAGATTTGTTAGTGATGTAATATTATGCAATAGTCGATTTTGTGGCTAGGCCTAAGCTAGCCCATCATCTGCAAGTCATGGAGCATTTACACGTCATAGGCTGTTGCATCATGATGGCTGTAGCTGTAACTGTCTCCAAGGAGTTAATCTTGTCCTTACAGGCACAGACATCTTCAATGGGATGTCTACCCCTAAGTTTACAACAGCTCTCCACCCTTGTTATATTTGTCTACTTTTATTAATTTATTCTCAACCTTACTACTTTTTGTCAGTTGTACAGTTAGCAAGTTTGAATTAAAAACAGCACACCAAAATTACATTGCAAGAATACTAAATTAAATCACCCAACCTATTCCATGCAAGATTGGTAGATACCAACCTGTAATAGTGATGTCCATAAAGATCAATATTGAATGAATAGGAAAGGAAAAGAAGTATGAGAATCTACAGATGCATTGCTTCCTCTCAGTTACCTAAGGGCCTAGCCTCTAGTTGTGGTGAAGTGTTCTTAAGGTTATTCTATTTGTCGCTCTGGAATGATTACATAGAGGGACCTGTGCTTTCTAGTTAATATCTTAGTGCTTATATTAATAATAGTTAAAGCAAAATTACTGGCAAACCTCTTGCTGTTGTGGAGCAGGATGGTATGTAATGTGATCCCTGACAGTCACGTGGAGTCAAGGAGAAATTAAATAGACTTTATTGGAGATAGTAATTGAATATGAATTGACCCTGTCGATGTTCCTCTTTTAACAGACTAAATAGAAATATTCACCTGGAAACCAGGTAGCCAAGGATTGGTGTCAGCAATGATTGAAGGGATAAGTAAAAGGGGTTTAAGTTGTTGGAGGTGAGTTTCATAAAGACTTTGGGAAGAAACTCTCCATTTGAATATTAAACCACCCTCGTTTGTTGTTAGTTAATCCTTTGGGGCTCTCAGTTTGCCCTTTGATGTGTTTGGATTTTTTTTTTTCCTCTCTAAAGAAAGAAAAAAACTACTAGTGATGATAACTCCCTCCTTTGATCCCATGCCTTGTATTTAACGTTGTTTAAGGATCTTAATAAAGAATATATGACATAAGTGTCCCCTGTAGAGAATACATTTTCCATTATGTAATCCATTGATACGTTGGTTTACGAATATTTATTTTAGATTCCCCCCCCCCCAATCTGTCTTTGCTTATGTATTTTCTCAGTTTTTTTGTTTTTGCTTATAAAGAAAGTAAAGCATATATTTACAGGACTCCTAAAATCCTTCTACACTAGCCCCCATTACAATTAGGATGATTTTACTTACAGGCAGAGTTCTTATGGTAATGCAGTGGTATACCAGAATAATTGAATATTAGGGAAATGTGTGTATATATTTATATGCATGTATCTAATATACAATGAAATCACTCTACTCCAACTTCGGAAATTTAACAAGAAAGTAGCACATAAAAACGTATGAATATGGAAAGCAGACCTTTCACTCGGTGTAACACGAACATATATGAATAACCATACCATAATAAGGTATATATCACCCTTGTTAATAACTGCAACCAAAGTCATACACTAATAAAGTTGTAGGTTGGCTATTATGTATTATTATTATTTTTATTTGCATGCGTACATTGATTCATTTTGTATGCTTTGTTGTTTTGGTTCCGAAGGTATTACTTTGAGCTTGAGTATTGTTTTGTTGTTGTGATATACTGATTTTGTACCTGGTTTTATTTATAGATTTTTTTTCTTTTTGTTTACAGATTTAGTGACATATTTGCTATCTGTTTTTGTAGCTAAATTTGAATTCTTAGCAGTTGAGAAACTTGCTTTACAAATTTTTCTTAGCTGATTGTTAATTTTGTTACAATATGTACATAAAGTAAAGAATTATGTTTCACATATTTGTTTACATTTTTTTTGCATGATGGTACATAATAACAAGTTATTGAATAATGCAAAAAAAAAAAAAAAAAAATGCATGAATTGTACATCGTTAGGTCAGCCATACAGAAAGACAGATTATATATTCTTTGCTTGTGATTTTGTAATGTCATTTAAGAATTTAGAATGAAAATCAGAGTTTGGTTCATTGTGGATATCTTGTCTGAAAAAAGGTAGAAAATATTAGTGCAGCACAGAGAGAACAGTGATAATGAGTGGAAAGACATCAGAAATCGTTGCACCTGGGAACATTTCTTTGTCGGTAGGACTCGGAGTTCAGGCGCTACGACTTCTATCCAGGACAGCAGCTAGTGGGCTGCGCAAGGGCCTTCGAAGGGGTGGAATGGATATATCGGACTCGTGAAATGGAGGTCGCATTATCTAAACCCCACAAATCGATTAAGGTTACTGTGGAACAAGTACAGGTACGATCCTTGGATACTGCTTTGGTCGGTATTTAACATTATGATTAAATGTGCTGCATTGTGCTTTATCTAATGTGGATTTTATTTTTATGTTTCATAACAGTGTACACATTCAATTTTACTTTCTTATACACAAAGCATCTTACTCATACAAACTACCCATGCATATTTTACTCTTTGAATACAATTACACTATCTAGATATTTCATGCTGTGACTGTTCACAGGTTGTGCAGCTTGGTGTCCGTTGGCAGTGTCGTGCATTTTCTAATGACCCTAATGTAGACAAGGAGCAACCAAAGTATTTAGTTCAGGGCGAGGACCTGAAGAGGTAATTTGATTATGTATATTTTACAGTATATATGTATATATATATATATATATATATATATATATATATATATAATATATTATATATTATGCATATGCATATGCATATGCATATGTATATGTATATGTATATGTATATGCATATGCATATGCATATGCATATGTATATGTATATGTATGTATATAATTTTATATATATATATATATATATATATATATATATATATATATATATAATATATACATATACATATACATATACATATACATATACATATACATGTATACATGTATACATGTATACATGTATACATGTATACATGTATACATGTATACATGTATACATGTATACATGTATACATATATATATATATATATATATATATATATATATATATATATATATATATATATATATATATATATATATATATATATATATATATATATATATATATATATATATATATATATATATATATATATATATATATATATATATATATATATACATATATGTATTTACATATATATATATATATATATATATATATATATATATATATATATATATATATATATATATATATATATGTATATATATATATATTATATATATATTTATATATTTTTTTTTTTTTTTTTTTCTAAGTGTATTAGGTAATTGAAATTTATTTTTATAATATATTCTATTGATAGTTATAATGTATTGGACTTAAGCATTGTCGGAATAGTTACATTTTGCAGATGAACTATGAATGTACTAATTGTAGATTTGTACAGTTTTGTAAAATAAGTTAATGTAAATATCCACAGGGTGAAGATGTTGAACGTGTTCGAACCATGCACACTGCAGCTTGGTGACCGCAACTATTATGTCTCGAAGGAAGGGGATGTGATCATGACACGTGACCAGTGGAGGAAGCTCATGGCAGCACAGTTAACGGCGGACCACACCAATCCCTGTCCCTTGAGGCCTCGACCAGCCAAGAATAAGTCAAGTAAGTTTGGCGGTTGTTTTTAAATGTGGTATTGAGTTGAAAGGGCTGTGTTTGATAGGTTTATGTATGTATTTATTTTTCCCCCCTGTGAGTTTGCGTGCCTGTTGTTTTGGCATTGTGTAATTGGTGTTTTTATTTTGATTAAGGATTTTCTATGCTTAGTTGTTTGGAGGTAAAGGATAATGGAAGGATTGCTGGAATGAATGGTTTTATGAAAACTGTTTTTCTGGAAACTGACGATGCATCACAACTAAAGTTATACATATAAAAGTTTCCTTTGCAATATCTGGTGGTTCATTTATAAGGCATTGAATATTATCAGTGGGAACAACAAAGGGAAGAACAAGAAAACACACGAATATGCCAAAGGCCTTTTTACTTTACTACTTCTTCAGGGTATTTGCCCTGAAGAAGTAGTAAAGCGAGAAGGCTTTTGGCATATTTGTGCGTTGTCTTGTTCTTCCCCTTGTTGTTCTTTTTGCAATTTTTTTTACATGAATTCCACACGAATATCATCAAAATCATAGATCTGGGGAAGCTGTTGTCTTTACGTGATTGTAGATCTTATATTGGAATTGCATTGATACATATTACAAATTATCATTCTGAAAAAGTGGGTGTGGAAAACTGGATGGATGAACTATCTACTTTTTTAAAAATGATCTAGAGAATATATGCCTTTAAGATTTATTTATGCACATATTTTTGTTGTGAACTCACTTGCTTGTTCCATATTAATTCTTTTTTATCTTGTGTTGTACACAGTAAGCCTTCTTTTTTTGGCAACTTTCTGTCACGCAGACAAACTGAATATTTTTATGATTCTTATTTTACACTCACTTATGCTTGCCAGTTATAATTTGTGATATTGCAGTATTTGCTGAAATGCTGTCACCTTTTTTTGCTCTCTTTTGCTCCACATTTTGATTTTGTATTTTATTTGATTTATTAAGTTAATTGTTTTACAGAAAGGAAACACCGCTCAGGTTTAACAGGAGAAGTTGAGCAGAATGCAGGTATGGACAGGATTTGCACCACTCTTTTTGGTTTCTTTTGATGTTTGATTTTTATCTTTTTTTTTTTTTTTAGCTTCATTTGACAGTGTGACAGTGACCGATTACAGGCACTACTTAGATTGTTATTTATTCTGTAAAGACTTTAAAGGGATTGACATATAATGCCTTGTTATAGATGTCACCAAAAGGACAACAAGGAATGCTCATACCCTTTTTACATCCATTGAGTAGAAAGCCACTGGCAGTGTGAGTGAAAGTTGAGTGTAGTTTAGTATGTTTTGCAGCTGAGTATTCAATCTCTTGTTTTGAAAAAATGCAGTAAAGATTAATACTTCTGTGGGACTTCCAGAACATGTAGTCTTTACTTGTGTATAGCTGCTTAAGCTCATTGTATACTGGTACATGTTTTCTCTTTGGTAGTTTTTGGTGAATTATATTGCACACAGATGGCTCCACAAGTGCTTAGTCACCAGGGATTCAGTTGGTAGGGCTGATGTGACCTCACGTGATTTCCCTATAACGTGATATAAAAGAATACATGATTATTGATATCAATGCTGTTATTATTATTATTATTATTATTGGCATTATGATTATTTTAATGTAATAGCAATGAAAGATACAAACATATCTTCCCAAAAATCATGGAAAAGGGGGAACAGGTGAGATGGGTAAGGCTAGTCATTGGCTCCTTGGTGACTAAGTTCATCTATGAGTAAACTTACTAAATATTGAAATCACAGTGGACATGGCATGTACATCAAGCCATCCTAGCGCAAAGTATTAATATACAGGAGTTATGATAATGTGTGCAGTAGTTTTCAGATAGTCTTTATGATTTTGTATATTTACATAGTATGCATTTTATAACTTTGAAATTAGTTTATATATTTCTGTGGGTGGTGAGTAAAGTGCTTGAATGATTGTAAAAGGTTTTGAGATTTAATAGAAAGTAGAGTAAATTGGTGATATGCTAGAAATTCAAGTATTTTATCATTTTCTATCTATCTTCTCTTACCTGGCACGGAATCAGGTGCCTAGCAGAAGTTTTATATTGCAATATAGCTTGATCTAAGGTTGCTTCTTTACTAATGTAAGGCCTGTTTAACTCCCCAAAGCTGTAAACCCTCCGGCTTGTCTGTTCCCCCAGCTGCAAAAAAGTCTTGATTTTTCTAGGTTCACTAAAACAAAATTTGGTTGCAGCCATTTGGAGAGCTTGATTTCATACCCTAGAAATTGTAGGTTTAATTCTCCTATCTCAGATATACAGAGTGTCAGAAGAACACACAGCTGAAATAGTTAAGACAGTTACCCCTCTTGTATGAATGAAAACAGAGAGAGGTTACCATGAATGTATAGATAAAACACACACAATTTATTTTATCATCTGAAACAATCAAATGTATATTTGGATGCATTTTTATAAATTTCTTGTCTTATGAATAATAAATGATGATAGTATGCCAAGAGATATATGCATAATATGTGGTATTATTGTGTGTGGAGGATAAGTTTTGGAAAAGTTAGAGACTTAGGGTTTCAGTGGATGAAATATGTCGTACAGTACCAGAATTATGAGTTCATGCTCACTAAGTTTCATTCATAAGATGAAAAGGTGGGAAAACTTGACTTGTGATTTGCTTAGGCAGAATAGAGCCTACAAGAGGAATAAAGGTATGGGGGTGATATTATGGGTGTGGTTGAAAGAAATTTGCCTTAAAGAACCGGATATATTAGTGGTCATTCTATATGTCGTGTTCTCAAAAAAAGAAATCCTACCAGCTTTCGACAGGCCTTTCATGATTATGGCAAATAGGACTGTGAGCACATTCTGCAGTCAAGCTTGATCTTGGTGAATAGGAATTTAGGGGTGTTAAAAATCAATGAAGTCTTTCATTCATTCTGTAGATATTGTGGTAGGGAACTGACTTGGTTTGAGATATGTACCCTGTCATGTATGTCATAAGATAAAATTTAGATTTTCAAGTGAGAGAATTTGTGTGTTTAGTGTTGTGCTTTTTTTTCACAGATGCCCCTGGTGCTCCTACATCAGTAGGCGGTATTAAAGGTAAGTCTCCACTTTTTTCTTTTTCTTACACAATCTGATGATTTTAAATAAGATTAATATAAAGCAATATACTTATGTGTGAAGGTAAATGTTGATCTTTTCGTGCACTTCTAGACACTGACGGCTCGCCTGTGGAAGGTGCTCTAGGTGCTGAAGGAGGGCTACCTGCGGATGATGATACCAAAGACTATAATGCTGATAGTGATGGATATATTGATGTAGATACAGATGAATTCTCTGACACAGCTTCAATTAGTAGTGGGGCATCAACAGGATCTGTAGGTGAGTGTCTGCTGATGTTATTTGTCTATTAAATTTTGCGAGGTCTATATTTGTTATTTCAACATCATTACTGTGATTTTAGAAATTAATTTGCAATACCATTACTGTGATTTTTTAGAATGATTTTGAACCCCTCTTATTATTAGCTGATAATTTCCGTGTTTTGTTAACCATTTAATTTTTATGCCCAAATGTTCACAGGGAGGCGAAACAAAAAGGGACCGGCATTGATGACAAAAATGATGAAAAAGCGCAAGTTGAAGAGGGCAAAAAGGAAGACCACCAATGAGGGACCAGCAATTAAGACTGGAGATCAGTTGGTTGTAGAAACTCTCATGACAACATCTAAAGCAGATGTTGTGTGGCAGGTTAGTTTTGTTTGTCAGCTCGTTGCTGTTTAAGATAGTTTTTTTAAAATTGATTTTGCCTTTTCATAATTGATATTCTTAATTGAAATTCAAGTCTGTCAAGAAAAGGCACTGGCATAGCCATGCGAGTGAGGGAGTTTGTGCTATAAAACTGATAAATTAAAAAAAGGCAAACCGTTTTAATTGCCTTCAAGTATTTATGTATAAACCTCTTTATTTTGATTTCATCACTCTACAGGATGGATCACTGGAGAAGCGTATTTTGTCAACAGTCCTTTATCCAATTCATCATTTGGACGACCAGGAATTCTTTCCGGGTGACTTTGTGGTGGAGCAGGACTCAGTCGATCCACATGAGTATGGCGTTGTGCAAAGGGTTGATCATGCTGGGAGGACATCCATTGTGAAGTGGTTTAGAACCTACACAGCTGGAAACGAACCACAGTAAGTAATACATGGGAGGGACTCTCGGAATTATAACGATGTACTGCAGTATCTCATTATTTACAAAACTTTGAATTGGTACTGTTATTGTAATTAATAGAGTTAAGATATTGGTACCAGGTACCAATATATAAACAGTGTATGTTTTAAAAGTCCATCAAGTCATTACAGGACAACAGATGTCTTGAAATTTTTACAAGAATAAGATGTTTGAATTCATGAATGGTAACAAGATTTCACCTACTTGCTCCATCCCTTGAATAGAAAAAATAATCATTTACTATTATTATCAAAATGGTTTTGATATTGTTATTATTTCTATTTGTATAATGTTGTTATCAATGATGATACTAATAAAGGTTAGAATTTCTATTTCCAAAAATTCAAGAAATGATATAAGTAGATTAGGTGTAGTAGTAGGCCTAACATTTGACTCCTTGGTGACTAAACAGTTCTACTACATCTGTATATAAAAAAGTTCATAAAAAAATGACAGCAGGCACTGCATATGTGCATGCACTTCTGGCAGTGACAATGGAAATAGAGAGTAGCTTTTGCCCTTACAATAGCTCTTTTCTCATTTTCAGGCCAGAAATGTTACGTGAACAGGAAGTGAGTGTGTATGATTTGCGTGACCATCCGGATTTCCGCTACCGTCCAGGCTCTGTAGTTATAAGAGTGGCCAATTTTGAAGAGTGTCAGACCTGTTCTACAGGGCAAGTTTTAGATAACTTTCCATCCGGAGAAGTGAGTAAAAGAAAATGACCTGGTTAAAAGTTTAGAGAGTTTTTGGTAAATCACATATGGCACTTTTGGTAATTCAGATATAGCACTGTGGAAAGTGTTTCCCGTGCACTCTGCAGGAAAAAAAAATGAGTTAAGACCTAGGAAATATTTTAGAAACATACAGCATTAGGATATCATAAATGTTCTTAGAGAATTGTATTGATACGGTTTATCTACCTGTGTGTTTCTGGATAATTGTGTTGAAAAATGACACAGCTTGTATGTGAAGGTAAATAATTTGTTAGATTTATCATTATAGTTGATAGCAAGTATTTCAGTAGTTTTGTGTCTGTTCTTTCAGTAGAAATAATCCTTGCCTACAGGTGAGTGTTTGGTGGGTAGATGGGAGGACATCAGTATGTTACCCTCAAGATCTGTACAAAGTGGGTGAGTACGACTCAGATGATGGAGAACTTTGGGATGACACAGCCTCAGATGAGTCGTGGGAGACAGAAAGTGAACATTCTGTGATTGCAGAGTGAGTGACTTTGGACTTTTATTGAAAGATATTTGTATATATGGTATTTGCAAGACTTTATGCATTGTCTCTTGGGTAAAACTGTTTTATTGAAGTGTAAATTCTGATTTTAACTTTATTACAGGGAGAGTGAAAGTGAAAGTGAGGGAGTACTTAAAACAAGACTTGTAGCAAACATTGAAAAAGCTCGTATAGCTATGAGTCGTCTAGAAGAAATTTTTACGCAGAATCCTGCTCTTCAGACCACAGCAGTAATGAAACAACTTTTAGATTGTTACAAAGAATGCAGGTAAGAGTTTTTGCTCTTGAGATTTTTGTTGTCAAGGGAAAGAAAATATATACATAGGAAGTTCATTTTTGTTTATGCTCATCACAAAATCAACTCAGTCTTGCCATGATACTTTATTATAGATTATGAAAGCTTTGGCAAAAATATATATATATAATTTTTTTTATGCTTGTAATTTTTCCAGGTATATGGATAAGCTGATGGGCACGAGCTTCTTCCATGAAAGCAATTTCCAGGGACTCATAGAAAAGGTTCGTGAGCGTGGCAGAGCATCAACAACTCAGCGCATGACAGAGCAAATAAACCGTCTCTTCTCGGCCTCAGACTCGGAAGGTCCCCTCACTCCAATCATGAATTGTGGAGAGGGGAGCAAAGCTGTCACAGGGAATTTTGACAGTGCTAAAGAAGACATGTCCAAGCCAAATAAGGATAATCTGTGCAATAAGGATATAAACAAAAAGGAGAGGGGACTGCAACGCTGACAGCGACATCCTTTCCTCCAAAGATGCCATCCTCAGCAGCTCGGCCACATTGTCGGAGAATTTGGCTAATCTCAGCTTCTCTCAGGGGTTAGCGCTGAATTAGTTTACATTGATTGATACAATATATAACGGAGATATGTTTGTTTTTGAGTCAAGAAACTTGATGATTTGTTTTAATATCTTATTGATATATTTCGGTGTGTCTCTTTTTAAAGAAGAACCAGTAAATCTGAGAAGGTTCTAGATGGGGGACGAAATAGGGGAGGAGAGCTACGACATAAGAGAATGAGCGAAACTGATATGACTCTTCACGAGAAAGTCTCTTCGGATGCGCGTATGAAAGATTCCAAAAGTTGTAATGATCTGAAGGTAGGTATAATGGATGACTTTTCTTCTCTGGATCTTTTTCTCTTTCCTTCTTTTCCTCTCTTTCTTATTATCCCCTTCCTCTCTTCTTCCTTCTTTTCCCTCTCCTCTCCCTCCTCTTTTCCTCTTCTTCCTCCTCCTCCTCCTCCTCTCCTCCTCCTCCTCTCCTCCTCCTCCTCCTCCTCCTCCTCCTCATTCTTTTCTTCCTCCTCTTCTCCCTTTTCCTCCTCCTCTTCTTCCTCCTTCTCCTCTTCCTCTTCTCTCCTCCTCCTCCTCCTCCTCCTCCTCCTCCTCCTCCTCCTTCTCTCCTCCTCTCCTTCTCTCCTCTCTCTCTTCTCTTTTCCCTCTCTTTTCTTTCTCTTCTCCTCCTTCTTCTCTCTCTCCTCCCATTCTCCCCTTCTCTCCTTCCCCTTCTCCCTCTCCCACTATCTCCTCACTTTCCTCTTTTCCCTCCCCTTCCCCTTCTCTCTCTTTTTTTTTTTTTACTAATATCTAGCCTTGTCACACTCCTATCCCCTTTTTCTAAGAATGTAGCGAGTTCTGTTATAGATGTTTTTATAAATCATCTCAGTTGGCAGGAAGAATACAAGACAATTCTACTCTTTGAAGGTGTCCTCATCAGAAGTCATCAGCGGGGTAACAGAAGAGATCCGCACGTCTCACATGTGTGCTCAGCTGTGCTCTCTCATGAAGGCTCAGCTGCTCAAAACCTACGAGGAGGTCGTGTTCCGCTTTGGAGGCCACTTTGACATGAGTCTCATGCAAGCTTGTCAGGTACAGTCGAACACATCAGAGGAGCATTTGTTGTCTGTGTGTTGTGCAATATTTTAGAATTTGGGTTTCCTGTTATGTCATATGGTTTAGAGATCATGCTTATGTTATTTTTTAATCAAACTTCTATGCAGGATTCTGAGGGTGCACATGGGGAAACCAAGGATATCCTGCAGGATGATAACAAAGAGAACATTCCAGTGTTTATCGCAGAAGACATAGTTAATGAAAATACAACTACCATTGCACTTAGTCAGGTATGTTAACTTCAGATTTCTTTTTATTACTATGTGGAAAATATGTGTTGGGTGGTTTGATTTTTTTCCATAATGATCTGAAAGTCTCAAGAACCTGTATATGTACAGTTATAAAGTAATACACACTTTCTCTGCAGGTTGTTCATCAAACTGTGATTCCAGTGGAGAAAAAGGAGGAAAACTATGAAAGCCTTGATGACAAACAGGCTCTTGATGTCAGTGCAACTAATAACGCCTCTCTTCTGCCGTCTCCTGTGGTGACCGATGACATGATCACCTCCAATGGGAACAGCGGAGAGACGACTGACAAAAATACCTTCTCTGATGACGCAGAAAATGACGACAGAAAGAAAATGCTTTGATTGATTCCATTATTGCAAATGCTGTTGCAGCAGTCAACGGAGAAGTTGGGTCAGCATTTACAAGTGGATCTGATTGCTTGTCGAGTCCTTCTGAAGGTTGGTGTAGCTTTATTCTTTATCTTCCTTTCCACAGATGTTGTGAAGTTAGAGTTTGTCAGATTTGACCTGTGCAGAGATGTTAATTTTACTAGGAATATATTAGGGGTGGCCAATGTTTTGTGAGATATGATCTACTTTTTCTACAGTTACCCTGATGCAATCTACCAGCTTAAGATTCAAACATATTCCATGAGTGTAACTAACAGGATAACATCATTATAAATATAAATATAACTTATTCCCAGAAAAAAGAGAAATATGATAATCCAAGTATCATGAGTACTTGGATATGCTATTGCAGCTATTTGCATGACAACTTCTGAAGGATGAATATTTAACAGGTACAGTAGTGTGATTGACTTAAAACAGGTTTGTTGATCGACCAGTTGATTGCGATCGACTGGTTGGCCACCCCGGAGTTTAGATTTGTGTATTCCAAAGACCTGAAAAACAAGAAGAGGAACTGGTTATTTTTTGAGAAGAAATATTTTTGAATTTGGTTATTATGAAAAAGAAGGGAAATAACAGTACCATAACATATATTTCTCTTGTTTGTTTTTTAAAAGTAGATTAAGCTACTTTATTTGTGTCTTTGTGTGTGTGTGTGCATATGTATGCATTTTGCTTATTTATATAGGTACAAGTATTATTATTTAATTCTATTAGTGTATGTGTAATTTGGTGTATGTATGTATGTGTGCATGTAGATGTAGGTGGGTGTGTGGTTGTGGATGTGAGTATGTGTGCGTGTATATATACATTTGCATTTGTGTGTTTGTGTGCATTTGCGTGTGTGTATGTGTGTGTGTGCATCTGTGCATAAACATGTGCATGAGTTTGCGGTGTGTGTATTTGGAATTTTACGTGTATGTGTAGGAATGTGTAAATGAATGTGTGTGTGAGTGTGTGTGTGTTTTTGTTTGTTTGTTCTTATGTGCATGTGCTCAACCTTGTGTTCATATGTGGAAAATATGTGACTGTGGGTTTGTCTGTGTTTCTTAAACTGTATGTCTCTGCACAGCTTTTTATATGAATTGTGTTTTTGCATGTCTGGACAGATATATGCATATGCACACACATTGTGTATGTTCCTTTATTTACTCTTTATTTTTTATTGTGCATTCTGTTTCCAGTCAAATCCTCCTCTTTATACTTTTTTTCTCTGTCTCTGATGTGATCAACAGTTATAATTTTATTATTATAATTATCACCAACATTCAGATTATATACATACACATCATATCATTTTGTTGATGATAATTGTAATTTCTTTCTCTGCATCTCCTTCCCAGTGATAAGTCAGCTCGATATCAATATCATCCCTTTTTTTTATTTCCTTTTCTCCTCTTCACAATTTTTGTCTTATGATCTGGAAAGAATGTATGTATGAAAAGTTTTCAACATGTATATTGAAAATGAAATGAAAACAAAAAGAAAAGAAAACAAAAAGAAATCAGGTGTGTGTTGTATTGTAATGTCAGTGAACTGTCATTGATTTTGTTCACCCTGTCATGTGTTTCGTGTCCTTATCTACCTTTTCCGCTTGCCACATGCTGCACTGGTAGGCAGTGGACAGGCAGTAGGAAACTCCGAACCCAGCACTGAGCCTGATGGTGAGACCCCTGTTGCAAGTGTTTTGTGTATATAGGACACTGGTTATGCATGTGTATACTTGTACAATGGGCTAGTGATTTGACTCAGCATCAAGGAGTGAATGCTAAACGGCATACATTAAATTTCTTTAGATTTTTTTTGGAAAAGCTGTCCTGTAGTTGTGTGTTTGGATGATTTATTGTGTATATATTTTCTAAGAATGAAAAAGTTTAGTGTAACTAAGAATTTAAGCGGAAGAGGGACTTAATGAGGAAAGGTAAGTAAAAAGGGCAGTGATGATTGTGGCAATGAATTCATCTGTGTATTTGTAGGTATGTGTGGTTCTTTAGTTTTAGAGAAGTTATTGGTGAAGGATGATACATGGATATAGAAAAGTTATGAATGAGAATGAATATTTTCACAATGGAGGAGATGTATTGGAATTTTTTTTATATGTATTCGTGAGTGATTTATGTATTTCTAACCAAGATATATTCAAAACCAGTCTTATACATCTCTTGTATTGTGAAAATATTCATTCTCATTCTTACCTTTTCTATGTTTGTCATCATGAACATGGATGTAAAGTAAATGTTATATAGAGACAGGTATTGTTGATTGGGTAATAGTATTTGGTACTTTCTGTGTTGAAGATATGAATGGCGGTGAAGGGAATCTTTAGTCTCGGACTATTACAAGGTGAATTTTCCTATTGTGTTTGAACTGATTGAATATTTCTGTTAATATTACAGATCAATTCAGTGAATGTTTTGATTATTGTTGTTATATATTATTGTCATTATATTATTGTTATATATTATTACTATTATAAGTATTATTTTACTTATCAGTAGTATTTCTAAGTCCATGTTCTGACTTTTATCAATTGCATTGATACATATATATTTGTACAGGCATATAGAAATAGAATTAAGTCATTACATCATAAACTAAACAGATACAAATACAGACAGACAGACACATGCAGATAAATAGCCTGATTTTGAATTAGTGAATGAATAAATGTCTGACTGACAGAGGCAGACAGGTAGACTGACTGATTGACTGATAGTCAGACAGACAGACAGACAGACAGACATATGGATAAATACTGTGGATGGATATGTAGATAAAGTGGCATACATACATACATGCATACAGACAGGCACACACATGCACACATGTACATGCGTGTACCCCCCCCCCCTACACATACATGCATATATATATATATATATATATATATATATATATATATATATATATATTATATATATAATATATAATACATACATTACATACATACATACATACATGTACATACATATGTACATACATACATACATATATATACATACATACATACATATTATACATATACATACATACATTCATACATACATACATACATACATACATTCATACTTACATACATACTTACATATAGATTCAGCTTTGCATATGGAATTCATACACATAATATGTATGGAGAAAGTTTTACTTTCCCAGACACACAATTCATGTACCAACGCACACATAAATGCATATATAGCTATGCATGTATATATATTCTTTAGAATTAAACTATTGTTTATTTTATTTTTTTAAGATTCAGACAGTGAATTACATATATTGCATATTATTTTTTACTTAGCTAGTAAATATGTGTAGCTGCATGCTTCACAGAAGTAAATCTGCTACCAGTAATATAATTTCCTTGTATTTCTTATGTAATGGGTTGGTCTGATTTTAGAATCTTTTATTACTTTCTTTGAAGAAGCAGATAAATTTAGATCTTGTTGGGACTGTTGTGAGCCAGAATATCTTTTAACAAATACGTAATGTGGTCAGCTTTGTGTGAACAAGTGAATTTTTAATGTTTGAAGTTTAATGCATATAAATTCTTTTTTTTTTTTCAAAAGTTGTTGCTCCAGTAATAATAAAGACTATAAGCAACAATATCAGCTAAATTGGACAATATTGAAGATCACAGACAAAATACTTAATTTTTTTTTTTTTTATTTATTATTTTTTTTTTATTTTTTATTTTTTTTTTCAAGCAAGAAACTTTTCTTGTTGATGAGAGCCAAAATAGTTTTTCCTCTGCTTTTCATACAGGTTTTGAAGTTTTGGAAGCAGCTCCAGACAGTCACAAGTTTAAGCTGACAATGTTCCAGCCAACCGACCCACCTCACTTCTACAGGACAGTGCGCAAGGAAATGAAACTGTTGAAGACCTCCCTCCCTCTAGGGATCTGGGTCAGAGGTTATGAAGACCGTATGGTAAGATGAGAGTTATCATTTCTAATTAGTGCATGTCTCATCTAATTGCTACTTTTTTTTTCTTTTTTTTTTTTTTTTTACGTTTTCATTTTTCTAGCTTCTTCGTTTGAAGGAACATGGTGCTGACTTCTTTATTTTTCACTTTTTATAATGCGATATATTTTTTGTATTTATGTAGTTTCCAAAATTTCAATATACAATTTTTGGGTCACCATGTTAGCCTTATCACACAGGGTTATGTCTAATAACGTTATGGCAAATGGGACCCAAATGGCAGATGGCAAGTATCCGTGCCGCATGTGGTTGAGTTCTGAGTTGTGTACATTAAACAGTTGTCTCTCAGATTAATGAGTATCTTTTTAGCATCTTTTCATTGAGAAATTACCCATGCTCTTGCCAAAAATATAGAGAGAGCAGGCTAAATGTATATTTCCTATGTTTTCAATTTGTCTCTGAAGTGGCTTACTGACTGTGATGCCCATAGCATGGCTTGTTATGTCATTATTGAGCTAATATTCAAAGGAAAAAATCATTACTTTTTCTTTCTGATACTAACTTATTTCACAACCTTTTCCACCTTTCTTTTACTCACCGTGTTGTACCAACAAAGTGACTTATATCTTATTGTATCATTTGTTTCCAAAACATGATATTAATGTTTTTGCAAATCAGAGATACATGATACTCATTTTAGTTGTGTTTAGTGTGTTACAATCAGTATACAAAATGGAATGTAGTTTTATTGAGGAAAAAAAGAAAAGAAAAAAAAAAAAAAAAAAAAAAAAAGGAGTTTCACTCATTTTTGCAAATCTTATTAACCCACTAGCGCTGGTACATTTTCAAGCCGAAAATAATGGTGTCTGGGTGGCTTCAAAATTGGAGCATGGGCCAGTCAGGGAACCTGCCGGTGTGCTGCCCGCCACAAGTGACAAAATCAGAGTGCATGCCGACCAGGTACTCACATGGCTTCAGTACTTCCCTTTTGTGTATCACCTTTCAAGACAGTCATACTGGTAGAGCGCCAAATGACAACCTGAGGAGTAGTTAGCGCGAGGAGACTGACCCTGTAAACTAGAGTCGAATATTTATGTGCTCAGTATTACCCTTTATATAAAAGAACAGCCAATCAGAGCACTACATGTCCTGTTCTCCCTTAGGTAATGTCCCAGGGGATGTTACAAGTGGGCATGAGGATACCTAAAAAGAACATCACAAAATGTAATGCATGCATCATAGTAACATGACTTTTTCTTTCCAACAGGATCTATATTCCGTTATGATCCGAGGACCAGAGCGCACGCCCTATGAAGATGGCCTCTTCTTCTTTGACTTCCAGTTGTCAGCAGACTACCCACGTGCACCACCTCTCTGTCACTATGTTACTTACTGCTCTGACAAACTAAATCCGAACCTTTATGAAGATGGCAAGGTATACCAACTTTTTTAATGTTTTTCATTTATATTAGTAATATAAAATCGACAGAAGAACAATAATCATTAACATTAATCAGAATGAGTAAATTATGAATAAATGGAACCATATTTTTCTCTTTGCCTCATGCAATTGTAACAAAATATTGTGTTGCAGGTGTGTGTGTCATTGCTTGGTACATGGAATGGAAAAGGCACAGAGGTGTGGACTAGTCAGAGTAACCTTCTGCAGGTCATCATATCCATTCAAGGTAAGATGGGGACATGTTACGAGGAGAAAGTAAAAAGAACTGCGGATATCATATATTGATATATCTTATATAACAAAATGGTTGTTTTTTAATTAGATTGAATAGTTGTAAGTACAATAGATGTAAATGTCTCCACTAACATATATCATATAATATTAGGGTTGATCCTGGTAAGTGAGCCATATTTCAATGAGGCCGGCTACGAGCGACAGAAAGGTACCCAGCAAGGGAGGGAGAACTCTCGAATGTACAACGAAATGGTGGTGCTAAAGCTTATACAAGCCATGGCGAAGGTTATACAAGCACCTCCTGACATCTTTAAAAAGGAGATTATTCAACACTTCCATAAGAGGGCTTTTAAGTAAGTCTAGAAAAAACTTTTATATACATTTTTATAATAATTGAAGTTATCTCAATTCTGTGAGAGGGAATTCCTTACAAAATTTATTATGTAAACACTTCTGAAATGCATGATTTGCTTTTTAAAAAATCTTGTATTCCAAAACCTTTCTTTGATAATCGTCTACAAACATATTGCTGTGGTTGGGAGCAGGTCGCCTATACCTACTTTCTTTCTATTGTCTGTATAAATTTATCAGTCTCTTGTTTGTAATGTATTATCTAATATATGAGTTTCCCTTTCCAAAGCAGAATACCGTGAGTTTCTCTAGAGAGAGATTTTTTTTATCCTGTCAAAGTGTACGAATTCCAGACATCACAACTGTATTGTAATCGGACATGGCAACTGTGTGTTAAAGCAGGATAATGATATTGTATCATTTCAAAGTTTTGATTCATTGTGTCTGTAATACTAGACTGGTTTCCATTTTGATCATGTAATTCATATTTGAAGGGCCAGAATTAAAGGATAAGATGTATTTTTCCATCAGACATATCTCCCTACCTTAGGAAAAGGAGTGAATGAACAAATAAACCAGAACCCATATAATGAATGTACGTTTAGAATTTGTTCTGATATTGACCTTGCGACTGCTTTACAGATTGGTGCAGAGACTTGAATGCTGGCTAGAAATATCAGAAAACCACAATGCTTCACATCCATTATCTCCCACAACCCCAACAACTTTCAGGGAGATATATCCATCAGGTATGATTTACACGTTTTTATTTAGGCTGTTGTGTGCATATACTTGCTCTCATATCTTTCAAGTTTTAGGATGGTTTTTATGTTTATTTTTCCATTTTCCAACCCCCTCAGATGCTGGTGTTGAATTGCCAGAATTTCCACTGATTCCAGCTTCCAAAGGGTTCTGCATCACCCTACGCAAGACACTTAAACAATTTAAATCCATCCTTGAGTCTGTTGGCGTGTCGACAGACCAGAAACTCCAGGCCCGTGAGTTAGACAGCAACTTACCCAAGACTGCCGTTAGCTCCTCCAGCGTTGAGACGAAAGTTGCTAAAGCCACGTATGTCGAGACGGAAAAGGAAAAAGTTGTCGGTGGTAACTCGTAGCTATTGTCCAATTTTAGCTTATTTATCCCTGTTATTACTAGTGTATTTATCAATGTTAATAATCAGTGCCTGTGTGGATTGTGGTGTTCGTTAAGTTTTGCAAATTGTGGACATTATAAGATCGTAGTCTCCTCCGATACAAATTTAGATCATTTTCCTTTCTGCAATGAAGCCAAGAGGAGATGATATTTTGCCCTCCCTGTGACTTTGTTTCGTTATTCTCAAGATTTCTTTTGATAAGTACGTAAATAAAGACGCTTGTGTTGGTGCACCATTTTCGATAAATCTGTTTATGGTCTTTCATATTTTCCAGTTTTTATGCATTTTGAAAATAGATTGTTGATATTGATACAGTATACAATTTCACTCAAGCTTTTCCAGCATTATCTTTACTGAAAAAGAAAATGGAGATAACAAATAATGGCAAAAATGGGAAATGATACACCATCATTAAATATTTTTTGTATTTTTTTTTTCTTTTTATTATAATTTCAATAAATTCTTTCAGTTTTTATGACTGACTTACAAGAAATTAAAGGAATCTCTTTATTAGTCTTATGATATTAGCAAGTATACCTTTTGTGTCATATGGCTAAGATTGATGGTTTTGTCGCATCAGATATAAGTCAGTTTCCGAAGCTGATTTTCTTTACAATTTTAAAGTGGTTGCCTAACCTTAGGTTTTCTAACCGAAACTGAGATTAAAACTATTTATTTGCGTGATCAGAACAACATAGGCTTTTTGAATTTGACTGTTTTAGGAATATTGTTATGCTATTTTTCAATGATCTATAGTAATTTTTGGTTGTGATATTGTTTTTAACAGTATTATAGAAAAGAAAAAAAAAATATCATGCACTCTAGCTGATTTCTCATCATGATCAGTGCTAATCGAATTCAGTTTCTGTAGAAAGAGAGCGAGAGATATGGCGAGCTGACTTTTTGAATGCACTATTTTTTGTTTTTTTGTTTGTTTGCGTATTTTTGTTATTCATACGCTGCCTTCGTACCTGCTGGAGAGGTCTTGGTGGCATAATTGGTCAATCACAGGTATCAAGTCGCAGATAACTTGTGTTTTGTGGTTGTCGGGAATCTTTTCTGGAGGTTTGTTTATTAATCTTGTGTATTTTTTATCGTATCAGTCATTATTATTTTCCTTTAGGGTTGGGGGGTGTCTTTTCTGATGTGATTATTGCTATTATCACTTTTTTTTTTTTGGTATAAGAAATGTAGAATTTGATAATTTGATTGACATTTATTGCATTTACTTATTTTTTTTCTTGAACCATTTTACAGGAAGCTATTTGTTATGGAGATTATGAAGTTTGGTAATGGTTAAACTGTCAGAACTGCAAATAGTCTCTTTTTTTTTGGTTTCACTTAAATCTGGTTTATATTGGAATAGTATTGGAAGTGAACATTGGTAAGATATGTATATGGATTTATGAATCTTATTGATTCCTGTTGGAAAATTGTTATAAAAAGGAATTAAGGCTAATATTAAATTATTTTGTTGCTAATTGTGTCTGATTGTGATATTCTAATACTCTCTTTCCTTTCCACATATTGGTATAGATACTGTTTATTAGATTTATTTAGTTTAAATTCTATGGAAAATATACATTCAGCATATGGATAAGTTAAGATCACATTCTGATATGATTTTATATAAAAAAAAAAAAACTCGCAAATCTGGAACTTCATTGTGACCTTATAAATATTTATAAATAAATTAATGACCCATGCTGTGGTTACTACATAGCCTCCCCCATCCCTACCAGTACCTCGTGATTGAGCAGTAATGATTATTACTTTCAACCAGCACATCTGAAGGTAATTACAAATGCATTTCTAGTACTGATGTAGAAATCTCAAATGACAGTAATGGTAATGTCTTTTATCACCAGTTGTCAAGGAATGCCTGTCGTCGCCAGTCGTCAAAAAGGCTGTAAGTGCTACAGTTGCTGGTGTCTGTTTAGTCCATTTTGGTTTAATGGTTTCTCCTTGGTTATCAGTCAAGTTTAAGTCTGATGTTAGTTGAGGTTCTGGCAAAGTCTTATGCCGTGGTGTATTGGATACTCTCTCTTGGTGCTTCCTAGCTTGATGTAGTGTAGTTGCTGAACTCCGTTTTGATTTTAAAATGCTTCTTTTGTGAGATACATTATCTCCCTTTTTTTGTTGTGGTGTTGGTGCTACTGTTGGGACTTGGCTTTCCTGCAAATTGGGAAGGATAGTTGAAAAATTGGGGTTTAGGATTCTTGGCTGAATAGATTTGGTTACATGGCAATTTCAAGAAATGCCTTTTAGTGTCACACACACGTTTTATGTTGATACTTCTTGAAATAGACAAGAATATAACCATATGCTTTCAAAGACTTGTATACAGATATGCATCTATGCAAAAAAAAAAAAAAAAAAAAGGCAAATAAAACACATACTTATACACTTGCTTTACATTAGCATACTTGCCATCATTCTTGACCATTTCCTTGCTTCCTTCCAATCTCTCCTGTCCTTTATAATTTTGCTCTCCTCTCTTTCCCTCTTCCCTTTCCTCTAGTTCCTCGCTTATTCACTCTCTTGCACCCTTACCCACTCCCTCTTCCAACTTATCTTCCTCTCCCTCTCTTCCTCTCACTTAGTATCACGTGCATCCTTGTTATTGCTGAGAGGAATTTCACGTGTCCTTCCCAAGGGAGAATTTTCTGTGGAAAGCGTGGATTTGATCTTGCCTATATGGTTGGCAGAAGGATAAGAATGATTTTATTTGGCCACATATATATACATTTTGTGTATGGCGCATGTGTGTGGGCATGTGTGTGTGTATGTGTGTGGGTGTGTGTGGTGTGTGTGTGTTGGCATGCATGTGTGGGCGTGCGTGTGTGTGTGTGGGTGTGCGTGTGTGTGTGTGTGTGTGTTTGTGTGTGTGTGTGTGTAGGCGTGTTGTGTGTGTGTGTGTGTGTGTGTGTGTGTGTGCGTGTGTGTGTGTGTGTGTGTGTGTGTGTGTGTGTGTGTGTGTGTGTGTGTGTGTGTGTGTGTGTGTGCGCGTGCGTGCGTGCATGGGCATGTGTGTGTGTGTGGGCGTAGGTGTGTGTGTGCGTGTGTGCATGTGTGTGTGCATGTGGGTGTGTGCGTGCGTGCGTGTGTGTGTGTGTGTGTGTGTGTGTGTGTGTGTGTGTGTGTGTGTGTGTGTGCGTGTGCGTGCGTGCGTGCGTGCGTGTGCGTGCGTGTGTGTGTGTGTGTGTGTGTGTGTGTGTGTGTGTTGTGTGTGTGTGTGTGTGTGTGTGTGTGTGTGTGTTTATATATATCTGCACACACACACGAATTTATATGGTAAAAGCTTTTAAAAAATGAATTATAGTCATGCACCAATCTCTGTTTCTGCAAGCAACTGAAAGAAAATTTATATTTAATCATTCTAAACTACTAGAATATTGCTTTGTGTGTCTCTGTGTCTCTCTCTCACTCTCTTCTATTATTTCTTTAGTCCAGTAAATTCTATTCTGGGTCTTTCTACCTGATTTTTGTACCTTCCTATATGATGTCATTTGCGTACTGTCAAAAATTTTAATGATGTTACATTTCTTTTCTTGGTAAATCATGTTATTATTATGGCGATGAGTTTCATGAATATTGATTAATTTCATTTTTGTTTCAAACTATGTTTGAATTTAGCTGAGACTAACTTGATACTTGAAGCAGCTTGGGATCCCTATAAGGACATAAACGGGAGCTAAGCCATTGCTTAAAATGGTTGGATTTTCCTTCTGGCTGGAAGAAAGTAGAGGATATCCAAACTTAAGGAAGATGATATTATGGAAAAGTAGATTACCTGCAATGAGGATGTGATGTATATTGTTTTTTTTTTTTTTTTTTTTATAAGATATGAACAGTGTAAGGATTTCTGGAGTAATCTCTCCCAAGTACTTATTTTGAAAGTTAAAAGTGAGTAGAAAGTGATAAGTGTCTAAAGCAGATGATAAGGTAAATTGAGTGACTAAAATCACTGGTATATATTATTGGTCCAGTTTCTTTTTTTCTTAATTATTGTTACTCTTTGCAGTAATGAATATGGAATGAAGTATAATGCATCTAATGACACGGAAAAGGTTTTTGTTGCCAGTGTCATGTTTATTTAGGAATGAAATATTTTGAAAGACTTGATGTACATAAGCTTGAACTTAAAAATTTCTCTGTTCATAGGAAATTATTGCTGGTGTCCCCCCCCCTTTCATTGTTAAATGAATAATAGAAATGAAAAAAGAGCAAGTGGATAAATCTAAATGGTTTTGGATGGAATAGGATTTATGTAGTACAAGGTCCCTAGTTATCCAATAAAATGAATATACATATGCAAAATATCTATCACATCTATATATTGATATTTACTGGTGATAAAACTGACATTTAGTTTTGCTGTGAAAAGCTATAAAGGTGCTATGTATATGGACTAATTGCTTTGGTTGTATCATGAAGATACCCTTGTTACATATGTGATGAAAAAGGTGAATTTCAGGAGAATAAATCTGTATAATCAGTGTTAAAAACTGTGAGAATGATTTAATTGTAGATCCCATGTTGTGTAATTGTCTTACTTAAAGTCTGTTACATATCTATTAAGCAAGAAAGAATTGAGGATTACTTCTCATAGTAATGTCTGCTTTTTTCATTGGAATATCAGACAAATTAAAAAAAAATCACTCCTAATTATTTAATCTGAAATTACCTTTTTGGCAATGCATTGTTATTATTTTTTACTTGTTAATCATTATTGTTTTTGGATACAGTCTTTCAACTCCAAAAGACTGCCAGAGGTTTCCTTTTTTTTTTTGCTTGACAGGCAACCAATTTTGTTGTTAAATCTGCAAAATGCCATAAATATCGCTTTTTGACTGACCGGACATTTTCTAGTCATTGTAAAGCAGGGAGTGATATGAGAATGCATGTCAAGGTGAATTGTTTCATTATACAAGTATTAACTTACTGTTGCCTCTGTTTCATATGTTATTATTATTGCTTCAATTTACCAGTTGTTTAATAATTGATTACATAAAAGAAAGTCCATTTGCTTTTAAAGGTTGTGTAATGAAAAAAAAAAAAAGAATAAGGTAAACATATGTGCTCGCAATGTAAAGCTCTTAAATTTATGAGGAGGATTCAGATGCAATAATTTATTTTTGGTGTTGATCGCAAGGTAGGAAGTAACTGCCATCCTCACAGGAAGACCGTCAAGCAAGAGAGGTTTCAAGAGCTATGTTTGCTATAAGAGAGGGCCCATCAAGCTAATCTCTTCCTCAGTATTATTATTATTATTATTATTATTTTTTTTTTTTTCCTTAGGAAAAAGTGTGTAAGTTAATACTACTTAGCTAGATTTCTGTCCTTAGATACTGCAGCAGTTTACTCAGTGTCTGGTTTTTCAAAATTCTGATGAAAAAGAATTTACTGACACTCCCAAATGAAAAGTCTTTCTTTGGGAAGAATTTAGGGGCATTCTGCATCAAATGCATTTCTTTCTTTCTTTTTTTTTCTGTTTATCACATTTAATATTTGGTTTGTCGTACTTATTATTAGTGTTGTTCCTTTTATATATCTCTTTATCAAGATTTATGTAGTCTGTACAACATTGGAATTTAATTTATGAAAATTGCAGTTTGTTTCTCTAGATTCTCTTTTTTATAGGAATATCTCCACATTCACATTTAAATGCAAACATATATCTCAACTTTTAAAAATTACTTATATAGCATAACTAGCATGAACAGTTTTTTCCGACCGCCATGCACTTCAGTTCCGAAACAGCTAGGCCACAAGATTTCAGACTTTTATTAGTGTTGATTTGAAATTTCCTATCCTCTTGTATTGTCTGATAAGGGCAATGAAATAGTAAAGCCTTTTTGTAATAGGAAGATAAGGTTAAGCAAATGGAATTATTTGGCATTTCTGAATAGCTAATATATATATATTTTTTCTCGTGTTATAAAAACTTTGGACCAGTTAAGATGCTCAAGATTTTTATGCTGGATTATAGCTATATCATAAAACTCAGTGCCAGCTTATTAATTATTACTTAAAAGTTCAAGTGGCAAGCAAGAATGTATGCAACTATTTATGGTGCATATGTTTGTACAGGATCTTATATTTATTATATATATAAAAGCACACACGCACATGCACACGCATGCATGCATACCTCTGTGTGCGCACAAAAACACACACACATGGACATGCACACATGCGCAAAACACACACACACACACATGCTCACACACACACACACACACACACAACAAATTCACAAACCAGCAGGTTAAGTTACACCTGGACGAAATGTGTAAAGAGAGACACACGCACACACGCACACACACACACACACACACACACACACACACACACACACACACATTTATATATATATATATATATATATATATATATATATATATATATATGTATGTATTATTATGTATGTATATATGTATGTATATGTATGTATGTATATAATATGTATATATGTATATATGTATGTATGTATGTATATGTAATGTATATGTATATGTATATGTATATATATGTATATATATATATATATATATATATATATATATATATATATATATATATATATATGTATATGTATATATGTATGTATATGTATGTATGTATGTATGTATGTATGTATGTATGTATATATGTATGTATATATATATATGTATGTATAGACATTTATAAATATATATAAATATATATTATACTATATATGCATGTATATATCTAAATATCAATCTTGAAGTGATTTCCATAATTCTAATATAAAACAAGACCTGAAAGAACAGGTCCATGAAGCTAGTTATCTCTCCAATAGAAAATGGACCAAATTCATAACAAGGAGTACGGATCAAAAAGCTATTGTAGATAACACAAGAAAATTTGGAATTTGAAATGAACAACAGAGAATTGAAAAGCTGAAACCTGGATATCATTTCATTACCTACAGTTAGGTGTCCTTTTATCGGCGCAGTCTTACTATAATGACGTACATTCCACTTGGCATTTGTAAAAGTATATATTGTCCGGGTAGTGAATTGATAAGCATAAAATCTCTTTCCTTTTTGACTGTAGATTTAAAATTGTGATTCTGTTCATGGGAATTTTGTTTTGGATTGCCATAATATTCAGCTTAAATTTTGAAAAGGTATATCCTGGCGTCTCTCATAACAATCATTGCATTATGATAAGGCTTTGTGTATTTACTGCCATTTCTCTGTCATTATGGCAAGAGTGTATTGTACAGGGTATGAAAGGAGACTGGGGGGTTTTGTACGGATTGTGATAACTAGGAGAAAGGTGTTTGTAGGGGGGAAAAAATGTCATTGGATTTTTCAATTTTATAATATTATGCAATTCTGTTTGGTCTGTG